TGTAGGCGGGTCCGCAATTTGCGGCCTGTTTCTCCAACGTAATTACAGTCCCCATCATTGCAAAATATCTTGTAGACAACTGCAGGGGTTTCCATAGGATGCAGTCTGCCTTTAGATTTTATTATCCGGCGGCGTATTGTCACCCGAGGTCGATGGGCTATAACTACGTCAACAGGCTGTAACAGCCGTGAGATTGCTTCGGAGACCCCTTTTATGTTTTCTCTTAAACGTAAAATAAATTGTTTGTGGTCTGGCACCCCTGAATGTAGCTGTAAACTAAAGCTTTGGTGGAAACCTTTGGGGGAATTTAAAAACATTCGTCCAGCCGACACCTACCATTTCTTAAAGTTTTATATTTTTTTCACATTTTCCGTGTATCATCGGCAGTTGATGGGAAAATATATAGTTTTAAAGTAGTCATCTTTTGCAGGCCGTAGTGTTTTGTTGTTAAAAGTAAAGACGTTCTTCCAAATTTCCAGGTATTTGCTCGCCGATTAAATATATCATGTCATTAAAGTGGTTTCAATAAACCTGCGTACTGCAGGCCAGTTTATATATTCTCTGCACATAGGGTGCTTGCCACATAAAATATACCCATAAAGGCAGAACTCTATGCCTTTTAAAAAATTAGGAAAAAAGAAGGTGAAGACAACTAAGATGGATGATTTGATCCCTCTTATCTGTTTCATCATCTTTTGCAATGGTTTCGGAACATGTTTCGTTAAATCAGAATGCATCCGAATTGCCGCTTGTCTCTTCTGACTAAAGGTTCATATCATCTGATTTTAGAAGAAGCACACCCGATCGCTGAGACAAGAGTTTTATTCGCCTGATGTTTCGGATTCCGTCGTAGTTTCATCCACAGATACAATATCAGAAACGGGTAATTCATACGCAGGAAGTTGCAGTATTTATAGGATACAGTCGCTTTGCTACTGCAAACTCATGAAAATTAACGGATCCCGTTACATTAAGGATAGTTACTCCTTTGTGCTCTCATGGCTTGGTAGCCAGCGTGCGAATCGTCACCCACGTTGGATTTGGACGTGAAGATGGCTCGGCTATATGGTTCTCTGGCGTTGGCGTTAGAAGACAAATTCGCTTATACGCTTCCGAAATGGCGAATTTCTTTTGCAAAACTGAGTCTCAGCACCGAATATGGGTGGGGCATGTCATTGTGCTTGTTTATAAATTAGTATCCCTTAAAGCATGACTAAAGCAACCTCCGGCTAATTAACCTCTTGTCCAAGTAATTGCATTTGTTTCTCTATAATTATGCCCTGAGGCTCACAGTTTTGCTTTTATGGTGAAGCAGCTGTTTCTTCCAAAGAAGGCATGAAAACCATTCGGTTTACACACGGTAATGTACTTTCTATTTTACGTCTCCAGTGCCATATTGAAAAATTTTCCACAATCTTTTTCTTGGATGTAGAGTTAGTAGTATCACTTTAAATTGCACCTGACCGGGATAAATAATGCCCTAGTTCAGAAAATAAAAAAACGTACGTGGACAGCGCGATAAACCTAAACCAAGCATTGATTGTAAAATTTATAGTCAGGGCCCACTTCAGCATAAGAAAACCCCAACTTTCGGTAATACGGGACGGGTGAGTTAAAATATCAGGTAAAAGAGAAAAATATTAAAAAGTAGGGTGTATGAAAGTATGAAATAATAAAAATAATTATTTAAATAACCAAACATTTGCACGCAATTATAAGAATGAGGAATACAACCAATGGGAAACAAGAAGGCCCAATAGGGCCCAGTTGAATATAATTTTCGACTTCATATCAACTCTTTACAACTCTATATCAACCTTTTATCAACGTTGGCTTTTCTCAATTTAAAAAAGCCCAATAGCTTCTAAGCCAAGGAGCAACCGCATGTCACCAAAAAGAGAACAAAAATAAAACTAAACTAAGTTAAAGTATACTAAAACAAAAGAACTGGGTCGTACTTGGGAAGTTAGCAAAACAAAACATGCCCTCTGCTATTTACTTCCCTAAAGAGAAAATGATTGCATAAATCTCTCAGAGAAAATGGTCCGCTAGTCATGGGTAGAGTGAGATGTAGCATTTCACCAGCCTATCAGAGCAGTGCTTTCTACCTACTGAAGACAAACCAAATGTTCCATTAGTAAGCACTTTTTGAATGTGTTTGGCTTATTTGGAACTACTCATTCTCTGTTTTCCCAAACTATAACCAAGCTAGTTCGAGTGCTTGAGAGCAGAAGAGGCTAAATACAATAAAATTTCATAGGAGCTGGCCCATTTATTACGGGTGGAAAAAGTGTGGTCTCCTGCAGCACACTTATTTCTGCGATTTCTGCATAGGCAAAAATAACTCGCTTTCTGCTAGTAAACGCAAAAAGCACATGGATATCGCGTATAGACCTCCAGTGTTGAAATACTTATCGATTTAAAAATTTTGAAACTACTGCTCATTATATTTTCTGACACAAAACTGTGAATATCTCGTCTTTATAACGGCATGTTTGGACAGGCGAATCGGGAGGATTCCGTGAATGGTAAATGATGAATGGCAAATAGGAGGATTTCGGACGAGAGCCGACCATATTTTCAGATTTTACGAGGCTTAAATCCTCGCGAGAGGTGACAACTTCATAGGCTGTGGGCTACTCGAGTCATGGTTCCTGGACCCACAGTCAATCGACAAGCGCAACAAATTTCCGTCCCCATACGCCGCCCTGAGACACTGTCTGAGCAGGAGAATCAGTCACGTGGGAAGGAACGGGCACAGAAACAACTCCGATGACAGCGAACATAATTTTTGCGCAAATATCAAGCCCGCATCCAACACAGACAACGTAATCGCAACGATTATTGACTCAAAATTGAACTGCCAAGCCATCACCGCACCAATTAGGACGCCAATCGGTGGTTTCAGGAGCTGATAATTATACTACGCATGTGGAAAGCCGCTACGAACTATGAACACCGCGCAATCTCTGCATGTATCACCCCAATCTGTGCATGTCTCACACTATTCTACGGTAACCTATGCGTAAGGATTCATGAAAGAATCCGAAATCTCATGCAAATAAAATTCTGGTACCAGTGATCGCATATTCTACTTCCGAGCTGCTTCCTGGAACTCGCATGTTCGTTTCTAGCGGTAAAGTACAGTACTCGGTGCATTTATCGAGGCGAGTTCCTAAGAGGTGCAAGTAATTTAAAGGCAAAAAATGCTGGAATGAATGACATGCAGATGCCCAATTATTTTGCACAAAATGTCCTAATATTACATCTACAGGGGGTATTTGATAGACGCTACAAAAATAGATTGGACTTGGCCATACTGCTCAATAGAATCTGATCCTCAACATTTTCAGCAAAGGAACAAGAACCAAGGGAAGGCATTCAAATTAACTTGCAGTATGTCATGTG